TTTTGGTTTAAGCTGGGTGTCCCTGGGTGATACAAGGTTGGAGGTTCACGTCTACCCAGCCCGGCTTTGTAGATCTTCTGAAAAGTCACTGATTTCAAATCCAGTCGAGCACAGCTCTGCTGTGACACACATGGGGGTCGGGGGCAGGATGTCCTCTCCATGTTGGAGTCCACAGGACGGCAGATGGTGGTAGGAGCCTGGAGGTCTAGTGAGTCAGTGAGGTCAGCAGTTTGATGAAGTTCCCTGTGCCCATAACGAGCGACAGTCTCTGAAACCCCTTCTACCCTGTCCTGTAGGGTAGCTGTCCGTCTGAGTGGACTCGATGGCAGTGAGTTTAATCTTAAACTCTTCAGGGTTGGGTTTTGGTGGTAAGCTTAATTAGAAAAAGTGCTAACTCCCCCCTCCCCCACCCCCCCTTTCCCCTTTTCGGCTGCTATTGCTAACTGCAAGGTCAGCCGCTTGCAATCAGCAGTCGCTCGCTCTTCTGGAGAAAGAGGAAGTTTTCTATCCCTGGGAAGAGCCACAGGGGCCACTCTACCCTGTCTTACGGGTCGCTGTGACTCGGATTCGACTTGATGGCAGTGAGGGTGGCCCGAATGGGTAAGTGCTCACCTACTAACCCAGAGGTTGGCAGATTGCACACACCCAGAGGCACCTTGGAAGAAAGGCCTGGCCATCGCCGTCTGAAAGGTCGAATCTGAAACGCATTGGCTTGCCATCCGTCGGACTTGACAGCAACAGTTGGTGCCTCATGCACTTGACATTTGTATGTCACTGACAGTCCCTAGGTCAGGAACTTTGGTCACATGTCGTTAGAAACTAAGCCCTCTACCTCTTGTAAAGCCTATTCTATTACAGATTCTAGGTACATAACAAGGTTCATAACAGCAAATGGGCGCCACTTTGTGACATACATCAAAACAGTGTTATTACTCTATTATTAATACTTATAATTGTATTATGTATCATTATGACGAAAATCAAAGAGTACAAGCGTTTAGTATGTAGTATACCGCAGCTTGAAAAAAACCAGAAGTCCTTTTACACCTGGCCCAAGAAGCCACGCCATGATCAACAGAAAACACTGACGTTGCCAGGGGTTTCACTGCTCCTGGATTCACAGTCAGCAGTCAGTGCCCATGGCAGCAGCCGCCAAGCCCTCAAAGGATGTGCTCATGATGGCACTGGGCAGATTTGCGCCAGATCTCTTTAAAGTGTTTAAGAGCAAAGATGCCGCTTTGAGGATGAACATGCTCCTGACCCAAGCCGTGATATTTTCAGTATGCACGTGAAAGCTGGATGGTGGCTCTCCTCTACTCTCCTCCCCTCGCATCTCTCCACTCCTCTGTCCTCTGCTCTCTCCTCTCTCTGCTCCTCTCCTCTCCCCTCTCCTC